TCTGCATATTCTAGATCTAAGGAAAATTCACCTGTGATCCGGTCAACGTCTTTGTAATTAGGTGACGAGAGGGAAACCTCCATAAGAATATCTATGATAAAATTAAATAAGAATGGGGATAGTGGGCATCCTTGACGGACACCACTTGATGAGTATAGCTCCCTGGACAACTCACCATAGGCTCTAACATGCCCACAAGTGTTCGAGTAGAGAGCTTTCAATAAGGTGATGTACTTACTAGGCACGCCTTTCAGTGACAGACACTGCCATAAGACTTCTCGATCAACGGAGTCAAATGCCGCCTTCAGGTCGAGAAATACAGCTATTGTCGGGCGTCTGTAAGCATGCCTATGTTCCAGGACCTGGCGCAGTGTGAATATTTGGTCGATACATCCACGGCCAGGTCTAAAGCCTGCCTGGTTTTCTCGGGCTTGCTGTTCCCGAGCTCCACTCAGGCGTCGGAGAATTATAGAACTTAGGATCTTAGACACTATGTTTGTCAGGCTGATTCCTCTGTGGTTATCACAAGAGGACTTCTCGCCTTTCTTGAAGACTGGGATGATCAGTGACTTAGACCAGTCGGAGGGGATCGTATTTGATTCCCATATACTGGCTAACACTTCCGTTAGCCTGACTAAGAGAACTCTACCACCATTCTTGTATACCTCAGCAGGTAGTCCGTCTGGTCCTGCTGCCCTTCCCGTTTCAGGCTACCTACCGCTTTCTCAACTTCTTCTAGTGTTGGGGGACCTGTCTCTATGTCCCATTCAGGGTCCGACTGGATAGCGGGCAGCGCAATGGTGGCTGGAGGCCAGTTAAACTGTTCCTCAAAGTGTTCTGCCCATCGTCCCAGTCGCCTTCCCTGCGAGTGAATCGCCGATCCGTCCTTCTCCGCTATAACCTCACTAACTGTTGTTGACCATTTCCCCCCAGTCTCCTTAATAAGTCTAAATAACTGTCTACTGTTACCGATCGCCGCTGCCTTTTCCATCTCTTTAGCCTTTGCTGCCCACCACTGTTCACGATCGTTGCGCAGACTTTTCGTCAGTTTATTTTTAAGTTGCGCTCGCTCTTCATTGTACTCAGAGCCTGCAGGGATGCATTCACGTGCATCCATTAGTTTGGAAGAAGCTGCTGATATCCACTGGCTCTTTTTAGCCATTATCTTGGAGTCGGCTACAGTCTCCAGTGCTGCTTTTACAGTAGACTGAAGATGGCACCAAGCTTCTTCTGGATGAGTGACAGTCTTTTGTTCCGATAACTGCCTAGCCAACTTCTCACTGAACACGGCTTTGGTGTTTTCGTTGTCCAGCAGAACTCGTAGTGGTTTTGTTGCCAAATTTTTTCTACGTCCATTGAGACGCAGGCATATACGTGCTCGGACCAACGCATGATCGCTGTCCAAACACGTACTCCAGAAGGAGCGGCAGTCTTCCACCGATCCTCTCCAGCGATGACTAATAGCAATGTGGTCTATCTGTGTCCATCGCTGAGTCGAGCTCGGTGGACGCCAGGTCAGACAGTGCCTTTCTTTATGTCTGAAATTTGTGCTGGCTAAAAATAGGCGGTTATCTGAGCATAGTTGTAATAGGCGATCACCGTTATCTGTACGTTCAGCTGGGATTCCGAAAGTGCCACCTAAGTGCCTTTCTGCCTCACTCAGTCTACCCACCTGTGCGTTGAGGTCACCTGCAACAACCACTACGTCCGAACGTTTGGCTTTCGAGAGGAGGTTAGACAGTTTATGGTAGAACTCGTCCTTCACTTCATCCGAACTACAGTCAGTGGGTGCGTAAGCAGAGATTACAAAGAGACAACGGCGAGTCTCACTATTCCTTTTAGTTCTCACTGTGCCGTTCAGCCTCATAGCGCAGAGGCGACTATCAACTGGGATCCAGTCTAGTAGTGAGTTTTCTGCCCTGGTGCTTAATGCTATACCTACACCTGCAAGACCACGAGAGCTAGCTATCGAATCTCCAGAAACTCGAAGGGTGAATTTTGCAGATTCACCAGATTGGTCAGGAGAGGTCAGGTGAATAACCACACTTGGGTCCTGTATGCGTGTCTCACAAACACAGCACACATCCATGCCCGAGTTGCTAGAGTCTTTGCCAACGAAGCCTGTTGGCCAATTTGACGGAGGGTGCGGACATTGAAGGCTCCAATATGTAATTTGGAGCGTGGTTTAAGGAGACCAGGGATGCTGTTCTGTGGACTCAGATCGTTGTCGAAGGCTGCAGAGGTAGGAGAAATTGAAGATGATGCAGCATCATTAATTAAGAGACGTGAAGGAAGATTAGAAGGTAATGATGGAGGAGGAGGATAGCAGTCAGAAGAAACTTGGGTGCTGACAGAGTTGTGAGGGCGGTTGACACTTCCCGGCTGCCCACACCGTGGAAGGCTATTTCTTCTTAAGGTACCTGAAAGAGATTTGTGTGACCGCAGAGCCCATCGGACATCTGCTTGAGGCCTGTCACACCCAGCCTTTTGAGTATGATTATTTTGAATTTTGTATTTTTGGGGCCGGATGAGCGAAAGGAAACGACAAGTGAACCAACACCGCCGGCCCGGCAGACCGTGGGGCGTGGTGGAGTGTGTTATTTTTGGGGCCGACCTTTTCTAACCCCCCCTTCCACTGAGAAGGCAGCATCAGCTTGGCACTGCTGGTCATCCAAGGGAAACACCTTACTGCTGTCACACCCCATCCAGCTAGCAGCAGTACGACTTCGCCCTCAGACCCCCATCATAGTGTAGCAATTTACACTATAACGGTAACTGCTTTTCGTCTAACCACTACCCAACAGACCTTTCTGGTATGGTAGGACCTCGAGGGAACAAGCGTTCCACCAGCATAGCTCGTTGGGTCATTGTGATATGCAAGCCCGACCACCACGTCAAGGTAGCAGCTATCGGTCGGGGGTAGCAGCTATCGGTCGGGACTCCAGGCTTCCTTGGGAAGAGAATTGCTACCATGTTCATGTAGGTGCCTCACCATGTTCCTAAATTTACTTGACTTTCTCATCTTCCAGTTGATCAGGAAGCGGCTTCACTACCTGCTGTTTCCGGCGACGAGTGAGGTGCAAACACTCACGTGCCTATACTATTGCGTGATTGGAGTTGAAGCAGGTACCACGGAAAGAGCGGCCGTCCTTGAATGATGTTCATCAATAATGGCTTAAAGCAGTCTGATATATGTGTGTCCGTTGTTTGTTTGATATTGGTGGATTTGAAGTGAGTCAGTGTCTGTGCTCACATTTGAAGTTAGTGCCAGTCAAAAACTTGTATTTATCAGAACAAGAGAGGATCGTCGTTTTCAGTTTCTTGGCATGAGGGCACCGTACGTACCTCCCACATACCTTTCTGATTGGTTCAGCTTCCCTCCTTGGACGTTGAAATCGCCTGTTGTTACGATTATATCTGAATGTTCTGCTTTTTGTCGCAAAATTTACAACTTTCGATGGGACTCATACTTTGCATCATCTAAACTGTGCAGTCGGTGAGTGCGTAGGGGGAGATTATGACTGGGCATTGGCAATTTCCGCAAATCTTTCTAGTTCTTGCTGATCCATTTATTGTGGCAACACACAGACGACTTTTTACTAGCATTTGGTCAAGAAGTGCGCTTTTTGATCAAGAACTTAATGCTGTGCCTACACCAAGGAAGTTCAGGAGAGCTAGCCTCTGAATATCCAGACACTCGTAAACTGAATTTTGCGGATTCACTGTATTGGCCGCTTGAGGTCAAGTTAATAACCACACTCGGATCCTGTATACGTGTTTAATAAAAGTAGCATACATCCAGGGCTCGATGTTTCAAAGTTTCATGTAGCGATGTTTATTTTCCGATTTGGCCTAGAGTCCTGAAGTTGAAAGCCAGAATGCGAAATTGATTGCGAGGTTTTTCTGGCTTGGATTACTCGTAATGTTCTCAGGGTAAGGGGTTGAGGAATTCAGAAGTTTAATATTGGTATCAAAAAGTAAAGGTAACGGAGAAGACAAAGGAAACGAGAGTAGATTATGCTTGGTTGGTTTTTGTGTACTACTGGAAGTATATGAGCGGTTGGTCACTTCGTGACCTCCCACTTTGTGGTTGTTTTCGAAAGGTACCGGAAAGGAAAAAAATAGATTATTTTATTCGGAGCCCATAGGACATCTGCTTGAGACCTGTCACACATAGTCTTTGTAGGATTGGTTGAAATTTGAGTGTGCTAACATCAAACGTAATAAACCTGTACCACGAGTACTTGATTACTTCTGGGCAGGGAGTGTCATTTTTGAGGCTGGTTTTTTAAAATCCCCCTTCCTATAGAAAAGGCAACATCAGTATGGCCATCTGTTAGAATAGCCTTAGTGTTGTCACACCCGCTTAGCTAGCAGTGCGACTTCACCCTCAGACCCCCACCTTCGCGGTTAAAGAGAAGAAGAGAAGGGGAGCAAAGCAAATAATGGAGTGTCATAGGACGTTTAGAACAAAGATGATGTATAGAGGCAAGTGCACCACTACTGTTAGTTCTCAAGGCTTCTCGTGGTCTCAGCCTTCAATGGTCATGATTCATAGAGCAAACTCATATGTAGTACACTTGAGTTTTAATAGTCCATTCTGTATCTCTGCTGCTGCATTGATGACATAAGTTCACAAAAGCTGGTAGTACCTTTCTCATCCGTACCGAGTTTGAAAAGAGAACGTTGAGTAACATTCTATGTCATCTATATAAGTGACTGCTTGTACTGAAAACTATTTGTTTCAGATTAAAACCACTTGATTAATCATTGTCTCGTGAATTTTCTTCAAGATATCAGTAAACTTATTAGCTCATAATTTTGTTAGTTATAAACAAAACTTTTGTCGATAGTAGCACTAAATGTGTTTGTCTTTAATATGAGTGGTTACACGAGGTTTAAGGTAAATTACCGATCGCATCTAAGGTTTTTTTAGGTTCACCGCATTTCATAAAATCTGCATAAAGCACTTTTTAACACTATTGGTTTACTCTTTTCAGTGCAGAGAAGCAGTAGAGTATAACTTTGATCAAATTCTAAGTGGCGTGACACAGATTGATGCAAAGGAGGTATGCAGTTTATTTATGATGTGTCCTAACAAGAACATCAGCGTATTGAGCGTCGAGAAATCAACATCGATTTCTACTAGACAGAATATTCCCGGTGTTTGCCAATTGTGTGAATTAATAGTCAAGAAGGTGTTCGAGCTTATTGCTGCCAATCGAACTGAACGTCAAATTCTGTTGGCTTTAGAGACCGTAAGCATATCCTTCTACTTTTTATGTGTACTTTTTATTTTACTGCACAAATTAGTTATTTGTCTACTACAAGTACTATCAAAGGTTTTTCACTATATCGCAAGTGTAACCATTTTGTTCGTTGCGCGGTTATAGTTTTGTTAATAAATAAGTAATATTTCACCCATCATTGTAAATATATGAGCAATGTGCAGTCTAGTAGTATCAGTGGGATCAAGTGCTCGAGGACATTATATTCTCCATGAAACATTCGAGATGTAGTTATTCGATTGTGAAACAAAATCCTATGTGAGCCTATTGTAATTTTTTCCCTACGGATCTGATAATTCGTTTACCTATTGAGTTAATCGATCGATGGAGTGGATATTACTTTCAGTGATTGGTTTCAGGAGTAAATCAGCCGATGCGAAATCCAGTAACTCACAGTGGTATGGATTTTGTTCTTCTGTACTCTCGCGATTTGTTCCCTGATATCTTCCAATCTTCCAACTATTATTTGAAATTATGCACAAAGTAATTAAGTCTCTTTCTTATTGGCTATATGACAAAGAGAAGGGTTTTAACTTCCTAGGTTACCCAACCATCCTAGGTTTTGTACCAGTAGTTTTTTTCTAGACTTTTGCCAGGAACTTCAATTCACCTCCGCAACGAGTATCTACTGCTTATGCATAGTTCTTAAACTGTGATGTAACCAAGGTTGTATGTAAGTTGTTCAGCTTGTCACTGGTTATTCTAGTGGAAGTTTTGTGTATTGCTTAATGTACTGAAATTGTGAGCTGTGACTAACAAACACTGAACTGTAGAGTTCAAGTTGTGACACTTCGACTCCTAATTCTTCGGATTCTTTTACTCAATACAGAGGAATTCGCTGACACCGCGTACCGGTATACTCTTATAGTATGACTTCACACAGCTACATTGGTAGGCTTCAGTTATTTCTCTGATCAGGTCAAAGGCAGTTGACATCTGTCTAAAGCATGCATACGTCATCAGCTTCCACTAATTCTCTCCAGATTTTCGTTAGACCTGGAATATGCAGATGACATAGTCCTGTTAGATGAAGACGCTGACAAGATGCAGAGTCTTCTGAACATTTTGAGTGAGAATTTGAGAATGTTTGGGATGCGGTCCTCACTACCCAAATGCAAATTGTTGCTCCAGGATTGGTCTTCAGCGGTACCATGGCTAACAATAGGGAGTGAAATGGTTGAGTGTGTTGACCACTTCACTTACCTGGGAAGTATGATCAGCCCTCCTCCTGTGGCTCAGTGGCCGATAAAACCTCTGCACGAATACAAACGGTTTGACTGGCTTTTGCCAACTTACTCCACCTGTGGTGGCGCCGTAATATCCACTTGTCTATTAAGGGTCGCGTGTACTGCACAGCAGTCTGCTTTGTTCTACTGTATGGCTGTGAAACGTGGCCGTTGAAAGTGGAAGATATGCGAGGGCTTCAAGTGTTTGACCACCGTTGCCTTCGTAGTATAGGCCGTATTCCGTGGTGTCACCGCGTGAGTAATGCAGAAGTCAGGTATAGAGTTTTAGGGAGTAGAGGTAAAACAGTTGACGAGGTTATGAACCCTCATCGATTGAGATGGTTGGGACATGTACTACGTATGCCTAGTCACCGATTGCCTCGTCACACAATGTTGGCTGAAGTAGGCCTAGGCTGAAAAAAGGCCCGAGGTGGTCAGACTAAAACATGGCACCAATGTATGAAGTCTCTGACTGTTGGTTTGAGCCATGTGGGGCGATACAGACTAGGTGGTTGTGGTCCGCGGGACAAGAGGAACCAGTGGCTGGAGACTCTAGAGGTTATGGCTGGGAACCGATGTCAGTGGCGCAGATGTATGGACACATTATCCTCATCTTGACGTTATACCGAATCTCACCATTTTCTCATTCTTTCTTCTCATACTTTATACTTCTTTTGACTGAATTTTATTTTCTTCGTCTTCCACTTCACTGCCGTTTTACTTGATGTATTGATAAGTGGTGTAGCACCTTGGACCGCTATGCAGTAATGTTTGGTCCTACGTTGATTTGGGTGGGTGGATGGGGTTGTACATCGACTTATCTGTGCAATAGTTCGTGGAAAGTAGATCGATGTTGCAGGTATCTTCCGTCATATGTTGATGAAAATGGCTGTGTGGTAATGTGATTGCGTGGAAACGTGACGGTTTATACAATTATCCTAAAAAGTCTGACCTCGTATTGGAGTTTACACATTAGTGGAGTTTTTCTAATTTTTACGAAGTAGCTGTATAACGCTCCCCAGTTTTTATTGCTTTCCCTACCTAGTTAAATGTTTCTCCATGGACCAATTGGTTTGTTAATCCATAGGTGTTCTCTCCGAGCAATCTAGTAGACCTTTAAAAGTGCAAACAGCATTGCTTTGTCAAAAATATGCGAAGACAGGTAATAAGTCTTTGCGGTGTTATAACCAGTTACCCTATATATTACTGGTCATGATCTGCGTAAATGTTACACTTTTTCTGAAAGATATTCATGTTACCACTGAAGTAATCCATGCATTTCGTTTCTACGAAAAAGTTTAAAATCTTTTTTCATTATTTAGGTCTGCGAGTATATACCATCTGACTATAAAACTCAGTGTTCAAACTTTGTAGAAAATTATGGTGTCAAGATTGTTGAGGCTATCATTGAAGGCACAGGACCAGAGCTTATTTGTTCAGGTCTAGGTTTATGCAGTCCGGTTTCACAATGATAAATGAACAGGAACAAAAACTGCCGCCCGAAATTCAACAAACACATCTGGTAAGATCTACCGTACATTGTTTATTATATTGGTTTATTTTTCAATTGTCAGCATTTCTAATTTGTGTGTCTGGCATATTCAAATTTTTATTTAATATTGTCCATGTCCACCTTGAATACGAGAAGTTCTGTGTCGTCAAAAGTCAAAACGATTGTATTCGGTGCCGTTATCTTCTTTTAGACAAAGGTTTATTTAAACTTGAAACAAGATCTTTGTTTTCTTCCCGGCGAGAGACTATACCAATAAATAGACCTAGGCTTTACATGGTTTCGTAGTGTTTCCTGCTCATGATTTTTTCCCTACCGTGCTCACTCAGTCAGTGGCACCATAGGATTGGGCGTTACTGCATAACGGTACAAGTTGCTAAACACATCAAGCATGAATGCACCAAGATGAACGATAAACAAATAAAGAAAAAAGCAGTCAAGACTGGTACAAAGCTACAAAAAAAGAGCAAGGAGGAATATGAGAATACCATAATTCACTATGACAGTCAACGCGAAGATAACGTGTGGATATATCGTCGTCACAGATCGATTCTGAGACACATCACATAGCCTCCAGACATCAGTATCAGTTACCATGCACACCCCAACCAAGAAGTCCACATTCTCCCACATAACTCAGACCAACAATCAAAGACTTCAACGACTGATGCAATGATTCAGTTTGGCTACCCTGAACCTTTCTCCAGCTTGAACCTCCTACTTCAACTGACATTGTGAGACAGGAAAGACGGTGGCTGGCTAGGCATCATCTGACTTTCCTCTTCGCTCTAGACCTCTACACCTGATTTCTACGTTACTGACATGACGACAACACGACACGTGGCATATGCTACGAAGGCGAGGGTAGTCGAACATCTCAAGCTTTCTTATGTTCCCTACCACGTTTCACAGCCACATAGTAGAACTGAGTGAACTCCAGAGCAGTACACTTGACTTCTAATAAGCGATTGGATATAATGATGAAGGCCAAGTGATTTGTTTGAATTCGTACAGAGATTTCGTCGGTCAGTGACTCACCTACCGAGGTTGATCCGACTTCGCAGGTAAGGGAAGTGGTTAAACGCACTCAACCACTTTATTCCCTTTTATTAGACTAAAAGAAGTGAACTCAGAATCCTTATGCAAATTCCTGCACCAGACAATGAGCCACACCTATTGTTTTAGGGCTAGTGATACTGCTTAGCTGCCCAAACCTCGCTAGGTGGAATAAGGGTTCAAACCCTTAGACAGGGCACCAGTGAAAAACATTATTGGAGCAACAATTTGCATTTGGATGGTGGTCAAAGTCACCCTGAACCCTCTTCTAACCTAATCCAACTTCCCCTAACACGGCATATCCAGGTAGGCGATGGTTCGGCATATGCAGTGCATATGGAAGTTATCTAAGTCGAATAAAGTTCACAACGTTGTCAGTCGACTTACCTATCTTGCCTAGTACCCTTGCCTGACGTCAACGCTGCTCACATGGTGATTCCTCCGAACGCGAGCAATACTAAGAAGACATCTGGGATCGATACTGTCCAACCGCTTCATCTCGTCCACTTTTAACGACCATGTCTCGCAGCCGTGTAAGCAGGACAGAACGAACTGTAGCACAATATACTCGTCTTTTGATAGATAGTCAGGTATCTCACTAGTCAGCCCCGCAGATGCAGATACAAGTTGACGAGTGCCAAATGGGCCTTCTGTATCTGAGGTAAGATTTCGTCAGCAATCAGACCGTTCGGGTTGATGCATCTCTCCAAGTATATGTGGAGTGGTCGACATATTCCATCACTTCACTCCCTATCATTAAACTGGACTTGGTTGCAGACCAATCCTGGTGCATCATCTTACATATGACGAGGGCGAAATGCATGCTAAACATACTCAGATTTCTGCTCAAAGTGTTCACAAGACCCTATATTTTATTAGCATCATTATCCAGTAGGACAATATCGTTTGCATTGTCCAAGTCAAAAGATGACATCCAGGGAGTAGGACAATCCCTGTGGATTCAAACTTACGTAAGGATATGTTCATTAGTGCGTGTGCATTGGAGCTAGATGGGAACGGTGACAGTGGACATCCCTGGCGGACAGTATTAGTTGTCACTTATTCTGATGACAACTCTCTATAGACCCTAACATGGCTGCATGAATTCGAGTAGAGAGCTGAAATCTGCCTGACTCTATCGAGTTAGTTGTTCTACAGCTTTATTTATGTGTCGAATAACTATCGACTTTAGGATCTGACAAACAGTGTTAGTTAAACTGGTTTGCCTATGGTTGTCACAGCAAGACTTCTCTCCGTTTTTATAGACTGGGATGATGAGTGAAGTAAACCACTCTGAATGCATTACCTCTGATTCCCGTACACTACCTAGTAACTCCCTTACTTTATTCAGTAATTACCTATCTCCATCCATAGAAACTTTGGGTAAAGGACTGTCAGGTCCTGCTGCTTCGCATCGCTTCAGGTTCGATACAGCTTCCTCAACTTCAAGGAGATTTGGAGCATCAACATCTACGTCTCATTTAGGTTCAGGCTGATTGTTGGACAACTGAGGTGTTGGTGACTATCAGTTGAACCTTGCTTCAAAGTGTTCTGAACAATATTCTAGCTGACTGTTCTCGAAGGTTATCAGCCTTCCGTCTATTTTGGTGATAGCTTCACTAACCATGGCCTTCTTTTTGCTTATGTACTTAATGATCCTAAATAGTTGTCGGTTGTTACTTAACGCTGATGCCTTCTCCATCTCTTTCGTTTTCACCGTTTATCACTGCTTGGGGTCCTTGCGAAGACTCTTGGTGTGGTTACATTTAAGTTGCTGTCGCTTCTCATTGTGACCAGAGCTAGATGGAATCAGTCTTGTCACATGATTCAGTTTGGATGACGTCGCGAAAACTTAGTGACGCTTGTTAACCTTTTGGTATGAGTTATCAACCGTCTTTATCCCTGTTGCTACAGCAGGCTTTATATCACTCCAAGTTTCCTCAGGATGAGCACTGCTGTCACATTAAGATGAATGATCCACTATCTCATCCTTAAATACTTTCTTCACATCCTTATCTTTAAGTCGAGCACACAGACTTTACTGTTGGCTTTTTCTCGCAACCGGTAAGGTGCAGGCACTCATATACCTTTGCTAACGCGCTATCGGAATTCAAACAGCTACTGCAAAAGGAGCGGCATTCCTCCACGAATCCTCTCCAACAGTGTCTTATAGCAATGTAATTTATCTGTGTCTATCGTTTGTTTGAAGTCGGCGGACGCCATGTGAGACAGTGTCTTTCCGTATGCCTAAAGTTAATGCTAGCCAGAAACGAGTAGTTGTTGGGGCAGAATTGCAACAGATGATCATGGTTGTCGGGCCGTTGGGATGGGATTACATGAGTACCTTCCAGATGCCTTTCTAATTGGCTCAGCTTTCCTACTTCAGCGATAACGTCAGTCACCTGGCATTATGACTACTTCTTGAACGTTTTGTTTCCTGTAGCAAAGTTGATAGCTTCTCATGGAGTTCATCCTTTGCGTCATCCGAACTACTGTTGGTGGGTACGCAAAAAAAGATTACGAATGAGCATCGGTTGGTCTCACGATCCTTCCTAGTTCTTACAGATCCATTCAGTCGAACAGCACATAGACAGCTGTTTACTGGTCCACAAGAGCCAGTTACTGGGTTTTCGTATACTCTTTAGGTGGTGTAGTCGTGTAAATCTTATTATTTATGGTTTATATACGCCCTAGTATCACGGTATGAAACCTATCCAACCTATTTATTTTTGATAGTTAGCAGGGTTTTTGGAGTACATATAATACGCTTGGTAAATCTGTTGTTGTGTCTACCTCCAGTTACTTTAAATATCCATGCTCTAAATCAACATTCATTTATATTTTATTGTTCTAGCAGTTTTCTGTGAATACCGGATATTTTGTTTTGTAGTCGTTAGATTGTGTTAGTTTCAAAAGTATGATCGAAATTTGATGTCTTTACGTCCAACCCACATTCTTACCATTAATGATTAAATATGAATACAAGAAAATAGTCGACCACCTTTACGTCATTTATCTTATTTGAAAATGATTCCTAAGAGTTAAACATTGATTTGTAGCTGATCCTATCCTAGCAGTAAGTTTCCTACGCTACTAATATCTTCTTCTGCTACGCAAGATGTGTTTGTGCTGGGTGTTTGAATACTCTTGATAAGATGCTCTATATGGTGTATGTTGCTGTCAAGCCTTTCTGTTGACCCTTAGTTTCGTTTTTTCATGCTCCTTGTTAACACTTGTGAAGAATTATAACAAGATATGTAAGCGAACAATATTGTTTTCTGGTAATTTTTGAGTCAACAAAGATCCTGATTGTGTACTTTCGAATAATAAAATTATCGGTAACATTAGGGATAATAAGAATGTTGAGGACGGTATAACAATGCAAACATTTATTCAAACAGACAGATAGAGCGGGTGAAAGCTTGAAAAAGGACAGTAAGGTTGCATAGTACGGTAAGATGAATGTAGTGGGTAAATAAAATTTGAATAGGAATATAGTAATGTCGTGAAGGGGGTAACAAAAGTGAAATAAAAAGAAGAGCACTTTAAAAATCTATTGATAAGGTCATTAGTTAAGTCTTCCCTGGTCAATGCAGAGTAGGTGACCGGCACTACATTGGTTAATTTACCTAGTCATAGCTCTTTCCGAAGGACCAGCTAAATTGAAGGTGACGAAACTTGGTAACTAGTCCTTCATTTGGGACAAAAGAAAACCATAGATTGAGATTAACTTCATAAAAAGTTCTTCCAGTGGTTTTCGATAGTCTGTGGAATAGGGTCTCACAAAGTATATCTCTATTAAATTGTAGCTTTATAAATAGTGGTTTCTCTCGAAAAGTTGCTGCTTCAACTCTTCTCCCCGATCTGTTCATATGGTTACTTTTATAAAATTGCTAGGATAAGATATTTCAACCAAAGAATACGGAATCCACTCTAACTCACCCGTTAGACTATCACCTGAGCAGATTTTCAACGATCCGACTGTCAAACATCTCAGTAAATTTCTTTTATACCGTGTAGGTATGGAACTAAGAAAGTATGTGTATTGATCTGCAGATTGGCTTCTGCTGTATACGTTTCTGCTAAGTGAGTCATCTCGTTTACTTGATAAAAAGTGAAGAAAGTTTAACTTCTTATCATGTTCTTCTCCACAAGTAAAGGGTGTATGCTTGTTCTCATCTGTATTCTGATCAGTGGTAACGAACTTATCGTCCACGTATCGCTGATGCATATCTATTTTGTTGATGGCAGCCTTCAATCTTCCATTTTCTTGTTTGGTTAGAAAGAAGTCTGCAAGGATATTTTATGATGTGGAGTACCTGAAATGCTTGAATTTTTACTCAGTTCTACTCTAATCATTCACATACTTTGCTTTTTACAAATTACGGAGGGTTACAAGACGTATTGTATAGGCCCTTACTTGTTTCAACTTTGACCGATTACACTAAATTCAGTGTTGTTATTAGTGTCATTTCCTCAGTCTGTCCATCTATTGAATCCACGGAATTTCTTATTGTATTCATATATATGAAAGCTTATGTATGTACTCAATCAGCACAGCACATATAAACTGGTCTTATTTTAAATCTGACATTTTGTCATGTCATCTAAAAACGTTTATCTACTAGTCGTCTGACATTTTATTGTAATAAATATGATCAACAGAGCTAGAGGCTGGGATGACCATACAGTTGTTTATTTTTAGAAACAATTTCCTAACTAAGTGGTTGAATAGCTAATTCAACTTTCACAAGGGTTTATTAATCCATTTATTTGTATATAGTTCAATTCACATACTAGTGAAAACATATTTAGGTCATAGTCATAGTGTTTATTTCAAAGCTTGTCGACTAGTTCCGTTTGCATACATATTTGTGCATGTTTCTGTTTATGGACATGTGAATACATGTGAATATGCACATGTACAAAAACACGTATCTACGTGTTATGACGCAATGAAACAGCTTACATGGTTATCAAAATAAATGCCTATCTAACAACTACCTACATGTAGACATTCATATTGTGTCGTTTTAGTCAGCAGGTACAACAGTGTTTCATATGATGTCAAGCACAGAGTGGTTAATATCTTATCAACCGAATTTTATATACAATATCAATAGGTGTACGTCAATGGATGAAAGTTATGTCGTGTTATAAAACAGTTAATTGAAATGGAAAATTTATAATGGTTTACACTTTTTTCTACCTTCCTGTGTGAATAAACAAACGAAATTAAATGAAGAGTTATAACATGAATTGTGAATCATATCACTATTTTAAATTCTGTTGTGTCACAACTGTGTTTTTGAAATTTTTTGTCAAATGTGTCAAATCAGGGGACTAGTGTATTGTGTAACAGACTGCTCTGTCTTGTTCTACAGATGTAAGACATGGTTCTAAAAGTCAAGAACATGAGAAAGCTACAAGTTTTTCGGCACAGCGCTTAGCGTAGCTCATATACGCCATAGAATTTAATAATTAACGTTAAATGTAGCAATGAAATTTATTTTAGAGTTCTATATTATTGTCTGTATACTTGTAATCCTATACAACATACTGTTACAGTGTGGGCTAATAATCTATAAATACTATTCAGGCAGAGATTTGAGCTAGCGTGTAAAGAGGTAGCCATTAGGAGAATCCTGACCTTGGGTTTCGTGTTAATTAGGATTCGTCCAAAAAGTGTTTTTTTTTTAATTTAAAGCATGTAAATGATTCTCGATGAGAGATTTAAAGCTAGGTTTCTTAGAATTTGAATGAAAAGGATTTTTGTTTAGGTGATAAGCACACATTCTGACTGAGTTTTCACGTATATGATATCTATTATCACGGTATTTTATCGATTTAATCCAGGTATATGACCTTGTATTATTGGAACAGAGAGGCAAATAGACATTCTTTACACGGGACATGCTGTTACTACGTAGTGGTTCAAGTTTCTACACCTTATATCAGCACACCAGGACATAAGCCAGCAGAAAATGTTATTATAAGTCGTAGAAATTCATTGTTAGAGAAAGGAAGTAGAAGTAGAATAATTGCGATATGAGATGTGTTAGAGTAGGCTAATCCCTAAGAAAACTTATGCTTATATTATCATTTTAAAGTTTGAGCCTTATTTTCGCGCCATGCTGTTGCTTATTTTTACCGCATTTAGGATACTAAGGTCTGATTGATCCGTTTTACACTCTTACTAAGCTATTTCGTTTCCCCTGGCCAAGGCCATTTAAGGATGTATAAATTGCTGTTTTCAGCTATTATGATTAGATTGAGGTAAATATACTTTCAATCCCATCGTGTTCTGGTGTCAGCTGAGTATCGAGTTGAGAAGTCATTGTTCGATCGTTAATCGTATCGTCTCGGAGGATTGTATCGTTATCTATAGCGCTGGATCGTAACAAGATGTGATGATTGAGATGAAGATAATGTGTAGATGATTCTGCGCTAATGCTTTCGGTTTCCAAATAGACTGGTAGCAAAAAATAAAGCCTAAAACCATTTGGAGTTGACTTGTAGACTGAAACTGACTCACTTTTACTTTGAGTTCACCATATCAGGGAATTTGTGCTCACGGATTCAAACCTGCATTCACTGGCGTTCTAGTAACAGAGACAGTACTGGTGATCTGTTCAAGATGTAATGTATTGTATTATTTATCCGTGGTTATCTCTTTTCGATGGAATCGACTGATTTTCATACTAGTAAACATTTGAAAGGTTAGTATAATTTACTTGTCCCAAATAGGACGAAATGCGCATCCTGGATTTCAACTACTAGCCACTATCCATCATTACTACATAAAATTGAAAGATTACACTAAAAAGTTGTTTAGCTTAAAAATATGAAACCATTCATTACTTTCACCTCAACTCGTAAAATTCCTCATTATTTTTGATTTTCTCTCTTATTTCCCGTTAAGTATCATCGATGTTTAATCACTTTTTGTTTTAATTTATTTCATGAAGCCTAAAATTGAATTGACTTCTGGCATAGATGCATGCTTAACGTGTAAATTCTTCATCGAAACAATTTATGGACAACTTCAAGATAATAAGACGGAAGATGAACTAAAACAACTAGTTAAAGGGGCATGTTCTTTCCTACCTGGTAGTTATGCTGATAGAGTAAGTGTTTAAATCATAAATACAGTTTTGATTTAAGATTCAAACATACTTTTAGTTCACAATCGGCTCATATTGTTTCATTAGTACGCAAATATGATGTTCAATAGTGGAAGAATATGCTCAAGGTCTAGATACGTGTTTTACAACCATTGTCTCTTGGATCTAGGTTCATATCACTTATTCATTTTTGTATATTTTTTACACAAACTGTTATGCCAACCTACACGTGTATTCTGTACTCTGTTGTGGTAGGTATACATACACTAGCCTTATGTGTTCAATGTTTATCAGAACAAACTCAATTGATAATTAAGTACACGTTACTGACTTACTTCTCTATAGGCAAGTGTAATCTAGAGGACCGGAGGGTTAATTAATTTCGAAGTGAGAATATGCGCTCATCTATTAAATTTGTTGATGGTGGTGGTGGTAGTGCTATATTTGAATATGATATTCAGAGAAAAGCATGGTCAAGCAAAGTGGTGTTTGTAAAACCTAGGGATCTTAGATTTGATCATATAGGGATTTTCATCACTTGATTAAGAGATTAAACTGGGATCATCAAAATTTTATAAAAAGTAGCCGAAAAAAGATTTTCGTAGAGTTAAGATGGGTGTTTGGGTATGTTTGAAGGCAAGTAGCTTCTGATATCTCGCTGCTTACTTGTTGATAGTCGGTATTTTTCCAAAGTTAAACTTAGTAATGTCATGCAGCTTGCTTATGATATAATGCAACTCAATCCAGTATAGGTGTTTATTTACTAAGTTATGAGCCACGCATTGTTTGAAGGCCTATGGTACTACCCGACCTCCCAGACCGAAGTGGATGGAATTGGGTTATATCCTGAAACCCACTGCCTGAAATTCGAACACCTGAGCCAATGAGTCACCACTTGTTAACTAGATTAGGAATGTTAATTATTTCCTGAGAGTCACTGTTGCTCTCTGGGTGCGTCAATCTTGGTAGGTAGGTTGACGTTTCAACCTATGACCTGATGCATTAAGTTATACCTCTGTACAGACTATATGTGATGGTTTACTGAGTTCCATGTAGAGTTCTCAAACAACCACACTGTCGCTAGTGGTTATATGTGCATAACTGTACGAAATCATAACACTTTTTGTATGTAATCTAAACGTCATTATCTCTTTTATTTTTTAGTGTTCTGAATTGGTAGATCGTTATTTCGATGATGTACTGAAGCTAATAGAAAATAACTATACTCCTGAGCAAATTTGTCACGTAAGATTTTTAAACAATTTTATCATCATTCCTATGGTAGATTCTTTCATATTCTTTGTTTTTATTCTATTCATAAGGTGATGATTGAACTTCAAGAATAACCTGGAACTCTGATTCTTCGTTACACTCACATTATGACTAATCTATTGAACTGGTGATATCTTAGACTAATAAGCAAAAGTCTTATATCATCAATGAATAAGTGTATTTGACAAATATCCAGGATATTCTGAATACGCAGATTACTGCTCCGCGTATCTGAATCAGTATTCTTGATGATTTAGTTATGGATAGATTGATTTGAAACCGTTACCTAGTAAACTTTTCTAGCAAAGGTAGACTACTCCACAGCACCTTTTTCTACTATATAGTTTTGAAACAACTTTCATAAGTATGCAATATGAAAAGATCACTAGTACCCAGTCACAAATTTCTCTTGAGAATCACTTACGTGATGGAGCTGTTGACTAAGTAGTGTTGAAGTATATCGTGAAATATAAGGAGGGTTAAATTAGTTCTTGAAACGATGCGTTTTTATTGAATGAGGTAGTTGGGATATTTTTTGTATTGTCTATCTACCACATACCCTTGTGTGGAATTCCGACTTAGGTAATGGTGCGAAATCTCAGTTTGGTCTCATCAAAGTATCATTCTAACTTAGGCAGTCATTGACTGTTATACTTGCATTATGATATAAAGGTTTTCTGAGTTGCCATGGATGAAATAAATATATATTTAATCCTCATTGATAATTGTAATTTTCTGTTGTTTCATTTGACTGGGTTGAAATGGAATCCACGATACGCGTTTTACTCTATTTGGAACTTGTCAGAAGGACGTACGTGCATCCCAGTGAGACTCTAACATAGAGATTCAAGGCAATATCAGAACATCCTTTCAGTTATCATATTAACCAACAGATATCGATCTGTTTGATATGGTAAAGTGAAGCGATTGGCAATTACAAGTATGAGTAACTACTAATACTCTTGTGATACAGTAGCCTGATAGGCAACACTGATATATAAAGCTATGCATAGCGGTCTCAAGTTTCAATGATAACCGTATCACTGAACGAGATACAGACTGATCGAAACGATTATGAGTCCTAGATAGAAAAAAAATCTGCATTATGACTTCCAGTGTTATCACGATCGACCAAGTAACATTGAAATAGGCATTTATTAGCTTCATTTGGCAAGATTACAATCATTTTACTACATTTATTCGTTATTTGAATTGAAAATTTTAAATAAGTTATTTCTATTTTTGCTTATTTCCGTCTTCATTTGTCCTGTTCTAGGTTACGTACAAATATTTGTTCTCTTTCTTTCTTTCTTTATCGTATCTCTTTGTACTGTTTTTCCAAATGTGATCCGATGCCAGATATCTTGTCAATTAGTACAAGTTTTAGAAAAATAATGGTGGTTTTATTTTCCTGACGTTTGTCAAAAACTGTATGCAAAATCAGTTAAGTGATGTTACTGGTTCTACCATTAAGGCATTAATGAACTAACCATGGTAGGTTACCCATCATTTGATCCGTATAGTACGTAACGTTATATTCTAAAACTTACGAATGTGAAAACATCAATGACCATGTTGTTCAGTATTGGCTGGAATCAGATTGAACTGAAGAACAATTTGGACTGATCATGTAGAAATATGATTATCCATCCATAAAATAACTGACTATTTCTTTCAGTTGTTGTGGTCAAATGTAAACCCTCGGACTGTGTCACCTATGCATGAAGTTCTATTTTGACCAGTTTTCTTCTCTTCCTGCTACTGATTCTTAGATTTGACGGAATTATTATTACTTTATTTATTTTTCCCTTGAGTTCCTTGTGGAACATAGGGCTTCAGTAGCACGCTTCCATCTCACTCTCTTTTCTGCAGTCTTCAAAACCTGGTTCCACGATTGCCCATAAGCTTTCATTTCTTCCTCATATGATCTCTATGTTATCCTCGGACTCCTAACTCGTCGTTTCCCCTTTAAATTCCACTCGAGGACCTGGCTTGTGATTTTCTCAATCGCCCTTCTCAGTGTATGTCCAGTCGATCTCTACTTCCTTCCACATATTTGTTGCGTGATAAGTTCTTACTTCGTTAATTCGGTACCAGCCAGAGTTCCTTGTTACTTATTCCTTCTGGCCATCTGATGTTCAGTATCGAATCAGCGTAGGCAGTTGTTGATGAATGTCTGTAGTTTGTTGGAAATGCTTTTTATGACGCGCCAAGTTTCTTAACCATCACATAGAAGCACTGACTGACTTGACTGACGTTAGTGTTGAAAATCCGGATCTTGTTCACACATTATGCTGAGTGCAACAGATCCCCACACTGATTTCAGATTAGTGAAAGCCCGTCTTGATGTCTTTCCGATCCTGGTTTTGACATCCTCATCTGTCCCACCCGTAGTTGAAACGATCCTGTCTGCCTAGGTAGGTGAAAGAGACTACTTCCTTTAGGTTTCTCCCGTTTATGGTGATTGGTGCTTGTTGTTGGTTGGATATCTTCATCACCTTTGTCTTCTCTATATTCACTTGAAATCCCGCCTTCGTTTGCTGCGTCTTCTGCCAACTTGTTAGTTTCCGCCTGTAGATTTTCGAGTTTGTGTGACATTAAACATAAATCCTCATCGGCGAAATCTAAATCTTCTAGGCTCCTTTCAGCGGTCCATAATTGCCTGCTTTTTAAATCCGAATAACGCATTACTGAGTCTCTTAATATCTTAAGTGTGATAGGCCAATGTACAAGCTATTATAATTAATTTTAGTATCTTATTGTTGACGATATTTTAAGACTCATTCTTCTCCGCACTATTTTTTCACATTTGGAAATCTCTCAAATTGAATGGAGTAGTGGATGTTGGAAAATAAATAAACCGTTTCTTGTTCATTCCTTATAAAATATGCTCTACTCTTCACAATTAACTTCTTGTACCAGATATATTCTTCGAACTTTTCAGTGTTTTACTACAACCTACCCATATATGTGTACAATTTATTTTAAAAATCCATTTTACTGTTTCTTCACTTCATTAATAGTGTGTATCTGGACCCTATGTTAAGAGGTACTTCACTAATTTAATCGACCATATATTAAAGTGATCAGTTCAGTTGTTCAAGCTGTTTATTCACTAGAGTATCTTAGATGAATTTGATTTTGAACAACAAAAACAGATATTGTGTGGATTACCCAGGTCTAAGTGACAAGATCTGTTGTTCCATGTTTGATAAGTTGATTTGACAGTAGTATTGTTTACTGAATAATGTCTCGAACAGGTTTTGTCGGTTTTAAAATCACGTCAGAAATCATCGTCGTCACCCTGGTATGATTATAATTGGTAGAATTTATTTGAAAATATTTTTAGTGAATAAGATTCTTTTACTGTCTGCTATGTTATTCTCTGCTACAGTGCTCAATTTCTGTACTTTCATTAATGAAATCCGTTGTGTAGTACGGATTATTCTTAACTACTCATAAATTTCAGCAGTATATTTTTTTCATATTACTAATTTCAAACAGGATGCTATAATGAATGTTTATTGATTGTGTAATGTTTGTTTTAGACTTACCTTTTATTTATTCTCACTCTCACTTGTTTAGATGATCTCACTTTGTCCAAGAATACCATTTTGGAGTTTGTCTGAACAAAATCCATGTCTTTTGGGCGCAGAATACTGGTGTCGTGATTATAGTACTGCGAAAATGTGTAATGCTGTACAATATTGCAGTTCAACTGGATGGAAAACCTATCCATCTAGCAATCAAAATAAACTGTTTAAATCCCAATGTGAGTTAATGAAGTTGCCAGAGATATGTGTCAACTCTGAATTGGCTAAAAAATGTAATCGTGTAAATGAATGTTATCAAGAACAGGTGAAAAAGTTTCTCAATTTATTCAGCATCTCATCATTAGCAACATCAAAAGATGAAAATAAATCACCATGTTCTGTTTGTGTGATAATGACAACACGTTGGTTGTTACAATGGGATATATTCGGTGGTCCAATTATTAATCGTAATATATGTGATGCATACAAAGATGAGGAACTTGAACAGGTGAGTAGTAGTTTCTTTTCAAAGATCATTCTTGAATCCTACCAATATTCACCTCAGTAGTTGATCATCTGTTATATGTAGCTGAAATGTAAACTGGATTTCAGCTAGTCGTCTTCTTGTTGGTGATCCAGTACTCCAATCTGCTTCATTACTTGAACTTCTCTTTAAAATACAATCTGAGTCAAAAATCTTGCCGGTCGGGAAGTCTTAGTGGTATTGTATCTTTATGAAAGCATATATTTGACAAGTTTATCACCTTCGAAAGTGAACTCGAAAACTTGCGAGAAATTTTGATGGAAAATGGATACCCATTGAAATTTATAGATAAGAATCTAAAGTCGAAAGACACCACGAAACGAGGGCATACTGCTCCGAAAAAGATTCTGCTGTTTAACCTCGAATTCAAAGGAGATAATGTGGCAGACATACTTATAAAGAGACTATCAAGATCCCTAGATAGATCATTCTTTGTCGCCAATCTTAGAGTTATATTCCCCTGTCAGAAACCTATTCATCAGTACGCAAAAGATAAGCTGGAGCATTGTGCCATATCAGTGTATGCATATCAATTTACTTGATCCTATGGAGCAGAGTACATCGGTCGTACCATGCGCCAGCTTTTGCAACGCTCATGTGAACACTACCCAACTTGACTGGCTAGAGGAGAACGGAAACGCATCTTTATCTTTGTAACAGAACATCTAGTAAACTCAAGACATTTGGCTCTTTTTGATAAGTACTCCAAAATTTTATATGAAGTGCGATAAAGCCACTCTAAAGGAGTGAGATTTAAGACATCTGGACATAACTAAAGCTTTAACGATTCAAAAGAAGCATGTACAATTTCTTTCTTTGCCATGTCCATCGTAGAGTATCGATCACTCTAGATAACCCACATATGACGTAACTACTTTTACTTTCCCCCATTTTAAACACCTAAAGGCACTATATAACTTTCTTTTGTCGCACAATTTATAGCGACTTTTGACCGGAAAGAACTCTGGAATATCCCATTCCTTCTGTCTTAAATTCACTAATATACAGCTAAGAGGATGATTTCGTCGAAAAGGAAAATTTTTTCTTCACTGCAATCGTCTTCTGTGTTTTCCGTGTTCAGGCCTTACAAGGTGACAACGGAAATAGATGTCTGAAGTCTTTAGTGGTATGGGAGAGGATCACCTTCAATAGGACAGAAGCAATTCGCACCTTCCGCTTATGTGAATCCTAGAAATCTGTCATGCATCCATACTTCATTTCTTTTCCTTGTCGCCTTGCACAGTTTCACAACTGGTCTTATCGTCTTGTTGAAATCTGTTAAAATGTTGCAATTTCGTCTAACATATAATTATGCTATGCCGTTTATTTTAGTGACCTCGTATAGTTTTATGTACTGTTGCTAAGTAGGTAGGGTAGGTCGGTATGTGGATCACTGCTTGGTAGTTGAACACAGACCACTGAGTTTCAGTTTCACACAAATTGGTGGTGAGACGATAGTGTTTAGTTTTGCTATTCGGCTTAGAGTGCAAGGTATAAAGGGTATGTTAGTCAGTGAGGTTGTGAAACTTTCACTGACTTAGATGTGGTTGGTGCATTTTTCACATATACTGACTCATCTCTTAGCTCCATACATTTTTATTTGCAGTCGGATTAGATCTGAAGGAAATTAAATAACCAAACCAAGATTTGACACTGTGCATCAAACCACTAACTGTTAATTTAAACCAGATAGGATATGTAGTTTGAATTCTTGAAATATTTAAACGCCATTGGTAGGAAACCCTCAATAGCACTGCTCAAAATGTATTAGTGAAGCAGATGTATCATCTTTTTATCATCTTTGACAATTCGAGCACTTTCCTAAACTTAATTTATTTGTTCTTTCTATTATCATACACTTTTTTTTGGTAATATCGTACTGTTTCTGTATGCTTCCACTACCACCTTTGTTTCGTCATTGACCATATTCTTAAATTTTTGGGCTAAAATCAAAATAGTCTTTGGATTGAAAAACAAAGTTTGGAGTGAATAGGTATTTTTGCTAAATTCTCGTCAGGGTTTACAATTACTTTGACAAATTACTCAGCATAGTCATTTGTTACCAACATGATTAATTGAATTCAGATATATGAATTAGAGAATAATAATAAAGGTGATGATAAAACAAAAACGAAACCTCTGGAAATTTATATATTCTTAGTGTAGTCATTCCTTGTAGGTGTGTGGGTGAATTGTATGTGTGTCGTACAGTGATAGAGGGAAATAAAATTATTGTCGCGTATCAATTATATAATAAAACGTTAAAATTCTTAATCACTTATGAAACTAACTTCGAAATATAAAATGATAATGAGAAGAAGTACAAACGGAGGCAGTAGTATTCATATTTATCCGGGTGACCGGGAAGGAAATTGTAATTGTATCTAGGTTGATGTTGAACTCTTTGGGAAAACGGAAAAGGAATGAACAAACAACTTTTGAATACATATATTGTTTGAAAAATTTAATTGTTATGACTTCAAGACATGGTACTGGATGATGATTGAAGGTGAAATGAAAATTTGAACCGCGGCCGGATTCGAACCAGTGACCACCGGGTTTCCGGCCCAATGCTCTACCAACTGAGCTCAGTATCAATACTAGTCTGCCAAACCGCGGCTATCTCATATAGTCAAAATTATAATCTTCTAGAAATAACAATCGAAGGGGGTATAAACTTAGAGTATTGTGATGGCACTTTGTAAACAGTAGTAATTGCCGAGGTTTTTCAATCTTATACTCATTATCTGCCAGATGAGCGAGTAATGAGCTTTTGATGGATATCCCTGTTCCTTTGCCTAACCACGTTGGACACTGTTCGATGAAGCAGTGATTGGCTTTCCGACTTGTTCTACCTGTGTAACTATCTCCACAGGAACAGTTAAATTTATAAATATACATAGATGTGACCAGATTTGGAAACCTATCCTTCAACTGCATTGGCATTGGTATTATACAGCGAGTAGTATATTTCAAACATATTGTGGTGGCAAAGAAGGTTTTTTCTATCGTATTTCTGAGTTTTACTGTCAGTGTTTTTGCAGCTGCATCTCTTTTGAACGCTAAGGTTTAGAAGTAATAGTTTCTTCGATATCATCTAAAGGCACTTTTCTCCAATTCTTTTCATTGTTAGTCTTTACGAATTTTTCAGGGCGACCATTCTCGTGTTAGGAGTTCTCCATTATTCTTATTTCATCTTTCAGTGTCAGCTATGCACATCTTACTGGTTCGAAACATCAGTGTACGGATTAAATTCATTTTGTGCCTAGGAGGGACAAATGATGAGAAATGTGTATACTGACCGACCGATGATTTCTTACGATATGTACTACGTCTGACACTGCCATGTGTTCATCTTGATAGCAGACTATCCCGAAATGACAGACATCCGTCTTTCTCTGCTTAACATATGAACTTGATTTCTGTATGAGCTCTGTTGAATGTATCGAGAAGACAGGATTAGTATCATTTTTGTACAGAACGAAAGTATCATCCATGTATCTGCAATAGAAGGACAGTTTATCTATCTCTCTACTCAGTGGTTCACTTTCCAATTTTACCGTAAACATGTCGGCTAGAGGAGGACCTAATGGTGAACCCATTGTCACACCTTCTGTCTGATGGTAAATCTCTTTGTTAATCTGAAATTGTACGTTCATGGTACAACGAAGAAGCAGTTCTCGTAGGATTGCAGTATCAGTAATCCTCACTTAATATATATGACTCATAACTTACTGCATGAACATGCATATGGTTGATGAGTGCATTCTGATTCCGTGACACGTGATAACCAGCTGGAAGACGACTGGGCTCAATAAAGCAACTAAGGATTATATCAAGTTATATTACTTTTCTAATGAGTGAATGATTATTGGTTTGTGTATTATAGGGAAGTATCTGGTTTATGGATTGGATCCTAAAGATTTTGAAAAATCTATAGACAACAAAGCTTACTCTTGATTATTAAAGGTTAAGTTGCACTTTTAAACATGAACACCTTATTACGAAATATTCATTCCTTGTTTATTCATATGTTGTCATTTTAATATTTTTTTCGGCTTTTCTTGTTTTTCGCTCCTTATGTACTATTGACAAGTGAAGATCAATACATTTTTGTGCAAATTTCTACGTTTTACTAAATCTATCTTTTTACCATTTTTATACTGTCTTAACCCAATCAAATTGGACACTTTTCTACAAAAACGTATTCATCACTTATGCACAGCCATGCTTACGGGATTAATGAATCTTATCAAAATATAATGGTAAATATAAGTTACTTGTCAAAGAAGGAACCCCATTTGTCAATCTCCCAGTTGACTAGCTTTTCTACGTTAATTTTGAATTTTTAAGATAAATCCTCCATAGATTGTTTCTTTATTGTATTGTGATATCCACTTGATATCTCATGTTGATATAGATAGTTGTGATTCATATAACGTATACTCAAATACCTACCTACATATTTGATCACAGAAATCAATATATTTTAAATCGATATTACACGCTTTCTTTCTACTTTTTTCCCCTTTCTATGTTCAGTGTTACCAAGTTATTGAAAAAGCTGGGATGCTGTTAATCCATTCACGTAAAGACCGTCAACATGTGGAACAGATATGCGCTGTATGTGTATTGTGTCATACTTTTTGTTTATGAATTTTTTTAATTTAAATCTTAAAATTAACACTTTTCGTACCAATTATATCTCGAGCGGAAGATTTATGCTACACTTTAGTAAGTTGTGATGTTTTTAAGGTGACTATATTCCGGCATCCATCGTTCCAAACTCTGGAACTGATACCGAGCGGATGAAATCCTAATTGAGCTTCTGCAAGTATCGCAGCGTCTATAAACAGAGGTATACATTTGAAAACAGATTAATCAGTCCTCCGGAAGGTCTGTCAAGGCTTGGATAACCCAGCGGTTGCGTATCTTACTGCTGCAGCAATGGTAGACACGCATTTTGGTCTCTAGGTAGGTATCAATCACATGAAGGTCGCAAATACATCTTGTTAACGAGTGTCAACAAGTGTGTAAGCCATTTCCAAAGGTATCTGCCGATCTTCTACAACAACAAAACACAACCAATAAGGTTCGATATTATTGTTTGATAATTGCGGTCTCTCGTTACTATACTGGATCGAATCAATCGACCTCTGTTGGTAGATGGGTTCCTATGTGGATGCTTCACCACAACTCAATTGCTTATTATACTGTTGTCTGCTCGGTGGCTAGCAGCGGAATCTACGACGTGAATTTCATCTCATTCGGGACTTTTTAGCTGGATGTACCTAGTAGATAACACTTGGGCAATTAACGTGGTGAGTACTGGGTTCGAGTCTCAGTGGGAACAACATCATTCATTGGGGTGCAGGCATATCCAGCTGAAGAGTCCCAAGCAAGACGAAACGCTCACCCTAGATTCCACTGCTAGCTACTAAGGAGACAACAGAAAACGTTCGAAGTTGTAAAGGACCGAAAGTACAAAGTCTATTTAACAGCTAACGTCTATTGCACAATGATTCTCTCTTTTTGTTTAGTAGCTTAGTACATATGTCTGGATTTAAGAAGCGATAAATGGTGTATTGAAGTCTTATTGAAAATGACATCATTCACTAGAATTAATTAGGATCCAATATATAGATTTCAAATGAAATTGAACGTGCCTCCTAGATTGCAAATATATTAAGTTGATGATGGTTAGACTGAAAAAAAACACGAAAATTCAACTCAGGATAAAGCCAACTTCTACTCAACACGATACGAACCACATTTTTCGTATGAAATCTGACTTCTCAAACTTTACTAGATGAAGTAGGTTTCGAACATGTAATCCACTGGTTAAAAATAGGGTCAATGAGTCACAGATCCTATAGATTTTTTGATCTCCACATGTCTTCTCATAATCACATACTAAAAGGTGGTGATTTCAATATTGTATATCGTTACTTTGGTTTATGAACTATAAAAACTGGTCTTTGAGTAATTTAGGTGGAATTAGTTTGTGCTTAAGTATACATCCCTGAAAAAACCTGTGTGGAAGAACACTGGAAGTCCTTGAAAGAGATGTGGAGAGAAACCTGCATAGCCGTATTAGGAAGAAAGAAGACAAGGAATGGATCTCGACGGATACCTGGAAGTTGATAGAGGAGAGGAGGATGGTGAAGCAGAAGATAAACCAGTGCATGGATGCACAACGACAAGAGGAACTGAGCACAATGTATAAAACACTGGACAAAGAAGTGAAGAAGAGTGCACGCAGAGACAAAAGACACTTCTACGAAACACTGGCAAGTGAAGCAGAACAGGCTGTAGTTAGGAGAGATAGAGACCTGACGACATTGTATCAAATAACCAGATTGCTATCTGGGAAGAGATCGACATAGATGAAACCAATAAAAGATGATTAGGGGAATTCAATTACCAAGGAAGAGAAACAAAGGAAACGATGGGCCGACCACTTCAAGAAGCTCTTGAATCGACCACCACCACCACCTGCACTTCGTCCAGAAATACCACCTGCAGCCGCTGAACTACAAGTGAACATAAATCCTCCAACAAAAATGGAAGTCCTAAACGCCATAAAGTTACTGAAATGCGGGAAAGCATCAGGACCAGATGGAATCCCGCCAGAAACACTGAGAACAGACACAGAGACAACAACGGACATGCTCACACCACTATTGCAGAAGGTGTGGAAGGAACGGAAGGTACCTGGCTGTCGATTGGAAGAAGGGCTACGTTGTTCAACTCCTGAAGAAGGGAAACCTCAGTGTTTGCAAGAACTGGCGAGGAATCACTCTCCTGTCCACCCAGAGCAAGCAGAATATCAAGCCACATCATCCTGGAGAGACTAAAGGATGTGCTGGATTCAAACTACGACCGGAACAGGCAGGCTTCAGGAAGTACGAACCATGTACCGACCGAATTGCAACGCTTCGCATCATCATAGAACAGAGTATAGAATGGCAGTCAACTCTCTACCTCAACTTTATCGACTTTGAGAAGGCCTTTGACAGCGTCGACCGAGAAGTAATTTGGAAACTGCTTCATTACTACGGAGTACCGCAAACCTTTATCCGCCTCATTCAACAACTATATGAAGATGCCACATGCCAAGTAATTCACAATGGGAAGCTCAGTGATGCTTTTGAAGTGAAGACAGGAGTGAAACTAGGTTGCCTACTATCTCCCATGATATTCCTGATTGCGGTGGACTGGATCATGCAGCACACAGTGGGGAGCTGTGAGAAGAGGGGGATACGCTGGACTGCGGAAAAGAACCTAGAAGACTTGGATTTCGTCAGTGATCACTTGTGCCTGATGTCACATAAACTTGAAGATGTACAGGCGAAAACTAACAAGTTGACAGAAGAGGCAGGGCAGCGAAGATGGGACTTCAAGTGAACATAGAGAAGACAGAGGTGATGAAGATACCGCACCAACAACACCAACAACAACAACAACAAACTTCAGTCACCATGAACGGGAGAAACTTAAAGGAAGTAACCTCCTTCACCTATCTAGGCAGCACTGTTTCAACTACAGGCACCACAGGCACAGATGAGGATGTCAAAGTCAGAATCGGAAAAGCAAGACAGGCTTTCATTAACCTGAAACCAGTGTGGAGATCTTCTGCACTCAGCATGCGGAAGAAGATCCGGATTTTCAACACCACCGTGAAGTCAGTGCTTCTGTATGGTTCAGAGACTTGGCGCATTACGAAAGGGATTTCCAACAAACTACAGACATTCATCAACAACTGCTTACGCTGGCTCGCTACTGAAGATCAGATGGCTAGAATAGTCAGAATAAGCAAGAAGGAACTCTGGGAAAGAACCAACCAACAACCTATCACGCAACAAATATGCAGGAGGAAGTGGAGATTGATTGGGCATACACTGAGCAGACCATTTCGGGACATCACGCGTCAGGCCAGTCGCTCGAGTGGAATCCCCATGAGAAGCGACGAGTTGGACGTCCGTGGTGAGGGTGACATGTAGGAGATCGTGCGAGGAGGAAATGAGAGCTTGTGGGCTGTCGTGGAGCCAGGTTCAAAAGATTTCAGAGAACAGAGTTCACTGGAGACGTGCTACTGAAGCCCTATGTTCCATTACGAACCCAAGGGACTAATAATAATAATAATAATAATAATAATAATAATAATAATAATAATAATAATAATAATAATAATAAGTATACTTTTGCTATTCAGTGATTTTCAGTTAAATTGATTCGACTTTTTTCGCACATATCAGAAACTAATCATTCGACTAAAAAAAGAATTTTTAATGAAACCAGTCCACAAAGATGGATTGCAATCAAATTTAACATGGATAACTCAACACTTACTTGCTTCAAGAAACAGTTCTCGATATTATTCCGATATGGTTATATCTATCGATGTGATACCAATGAGACCATTCTCACTTTTTCAGTTATGATATTTATCAGTATTCAATTTATCATCCAAATATTAAGGTCAAAATGACAATAAAAATCGATAAAGTAGAAAAGTTAATGCTACAATAACCTTGGATTTGAATACACATTTATTAAAAAAGGTTTCATGTGATACGAAAACTGTTTTGGTACAAATAAGGGTAACATGAAACCTCCTTATGCCTCTAGGGGTTCGACAAACTTTAAAATACAGTTTTTTAAGATAGGCCCTAATAAAGTATATGCATCCATTTCATCCCACGTTTTAATAACATGTTTAGCAGTTGAGGAGCTTGGACGTTTGTTTCTAGGATTAATGGGGTCAAATCATTCTATTTGCTTCTGAAGCCACTTTAGAATATGTCCTATGACTCTGATTTTCTCTTTGTATATTTAACCATATGCACATTTAAATTAGTAAGTACTAAGAATGTGATTTCATCTTTCACTTGTTTCAAACGCTTTGATGGGTATATGGGCTTTGAACTTTCAATTATCTGAAACCTAAATGGATAACTTTTTCTCTTGATGGGAACATTAATTCTCTCTGTCTATCTATCTATCTATCAGACTGTTTGTCTCATTAGTGTGTGATAGCTTGATGAATACATCTTTCTTGAAGCTAGAGTGGATAGTATTTTTTAAAATTCTCAGCTCAATTTATTTCAACGTATCAACTTCAAAGAGTAACTGTTTTTAGTTAACGTCTCTGCTGATAATCTTCTCTTTTCTTCCAATATATAGATCATACATATTCATTGAATTCCATTAAATAAGCATTTCATTAAGTTCCTTTTTAATAGATTGGACGGAAACCGTAGTGATCTAACTACTTTCTTGTCCATGTAGGGCTTCTATAGACAGATCATTTTATTGATCCGTCTTACCGTTGACTGATCGATACGTCTAAGCAAAGACGGTAAGTTATTTTCCTCTTGTACACTTGTTTAGCTAACTTTGTGGACTTTTGTGTAGTAGGAAGTGAGCGACATCTATTATGTGTACTACCTGGCTGCTCAAACTTCGGTAGGTAGAGCGTTGTTTGAACCCATGACTCATTATTTAAAAGTCAACTACTGAAACTAATGAGCCAGCGCTCCAATATAATTCAGTAGATATTTGGTACACTCAGGACCAAATATCATACATACTGTAGTCCATTTTGTTACTTTCCTACACCTTTATGTGAGTGAACTTTTCAAATTCATTGTGCGCACACATATTTCAGTGTTCTTATCATCGTTAAGGCGACAGTCATATCCTAATTTACCTTCTTAATGGAATCTTTTTATATCTTCGGGTGATTGGAGTTATAGGGTTTATAGTAATTATGAAGGTAATGAGTTGTTTCATTCTATTTTTTAGATCCTCTTTATATGAAAAGATGGTTAACTGGAGGTTAGGTTTTTTGATTTCAACCAATGGACTTTAGGTCTAAAGATGACTTCATTGATTGAATTTTCAGAAATCATGTGTTATTATCAATCCCTACATAATAGGTGTGTTTCGTTGTTCAGCGTCCTGACTTACGTGCAACTGATAAATTACAAACGATTCATAATCTTTTTGGGTATAATCCTTGTATCATGTTTTGAATATGTTTTTGTATGCTACTTATTATTTCCTGTTACTTTTTTTGTGTATGCGTACAACACATTTTGTATCTAGCGTACAATCAATTGTTCTCCTGCGGGAAAGGAAGAAAATGGAGACAAACAACTTACTTATGAGAAGTTAGATCGAGCAGAATCCTTTATCTCTGACAAATTTGATAAGATATCCTGCTTATCCGGTCCTACATATTGGTGTTCATCGAAGGATACAGCTAAAAAGTGTAATGCCACAAACTATTGTCAAGCAACTTATTGGCCTGAAGTCAATAACAATAACAACAATATTAATGAAGATATATTAAAGACAGAAAATAGTCAAATGAATCATGACAATAATGGTAATAATGTTAACACGGTTGTGACACCGTTACCGGTACCTGTTGCAAAATCTGAAAAATTATTAGGCATTAAACCATGTACATGGGGACCTGCGTATTGGTGTATATCAGAAGAAACAGCTAAAAAGTGTGGTGATGCAGCATTAATGCATTGTAAAACAAAAATATGGATTGATCTACCAGTGACTACTACACCACCCAGTGGAATGTACTATAGTCATGAGAAATGTACTCGTGGTCCAACATTTTGGTGTGCATCCTTTGAAAATGCAAAATTATGCGGTGAAGATGCTGAAAGACATTGTATCAATGTGGTTTGGTCAAATATACATAAATCGAAATTGCAAATAAAACCATAATATGAATTTGACTATTCAAAATTGTAATTGTCTTTTTCAACTAACAAATTGATAAATAATCTATTCGTCTCTCTTCTTTTATCTGTTTCAATTTGTTTTCTAACATTTTATTGGGTTTTTACACAAGTTTGTCGACTAAGAGAAGACTAAAATTCATTTCATTTATTTCCTATTCTAGGATAGAACATTATAAGTAACATTTTGATGATTGACATACACGGCTATTCAGAGAAATCATTTTAATTCATACTTTTACTAATTGAAAATGAATTATATATTTGTGTTTGTATGTATGATTTCAGTATACCAGTAGATTAAAGTTTTATGATTCATTATGCGAAATATTCTGTTTTTAAGCTGAATAAACTTGGAACTATTGAGTGCATATAAGAAAGACTCTAATAACAGGAGAAATGGATAATTTCTCATTTTTAATATTAGTTTTCCTACATCAGTTGAATAAAGACTGAGCATAAAATGTCATTTGTCCTATTATAATATTGATTAGAATTAATTTTGTTATATGTAAGGTTGAAACTTTAGTTTTATTGATTAGAATAAGGAAATATTACCTATTTACTCCTAATACAATATACTAGTCATGACATCTGAACTTGAATATAGAAGAGATCCAACCTAAGCAAATAGCTGTGTAGTACCGTCTACTTGTTTAGTCTTTTTCAACTGGTTCATTGTAACATCTTTAATCAACCTGTTAACACCATCCATATGAGACAGCATTTCGTAATAGGCTTACATTTCAAGTATATTACGTCAATGAAAGTAAGTACATGAAATGAGTTCAATAAAACTGAAATGATGTAATGGTTAAATTTTAACGAAAACTGGATAAGAATTATAATATTATCCAACTATTTTATTGATTAGTATTTTCTCTTTTGAGATATGAAATATAGAAAGTTCATGATATTATTCAACAATATGCAGTTAGTGAAAATGGTGTTGTGTGGTTCTGTGGTAAGGAAAATTTGTTTTCATCAAAGTTTTATGTAAGGATGTCTAGGACTCCTTATGTATTTTGCGATGTATCACCGTCATTTTATTAAAAATATATTAAAAAGGAGTATCTTGCATTACTGTTTATTGTTTTTAATTGCCACAATTCACATCAGCACACTGTGATTGAACTGAAGTTGATAGAAGATAGAAAATGGAAAGCACTAATATCAGCAATCCTAAAATGCCAAAAGTAGATGAAGTGAATGAAGATGGATAATATTATGATTTAGACTAAATTTTAGCACCAATATATCTGTACTGCTGCTGCGGACTTTGAGTCATATCTCCTTGAGTACCTTACCATACGTTTCGATTGCTTTGCGAAATTTCATAATGAGGTTTACGTTAACCCATATGGCTTAGACCAGCAGTTAGAGACTTTGGTGTTTAGGTATGCCGCTAGCGCAGTGAGTAGAGTAAGATTATCGGCCCTTTTCATTCATGCTGACCTACTATGGTCTTTTGATTGATGCACCTTCGTTTAAGTCTGAGACCTACATAATTTTCCTCAGTTTTTACGATGTTAGTCAAACAAATTTCTCAGTTGTTGTAACAAGAAGACCTCTCCGTTTTTAATAAACGAGTGATCAGTGACAGGACTCTCTCTGCTTTCCGTACACTACCTAGTACCCCCGTTATTGTACTTAGTAATTTCTTTCCTTTATAAAATATTATAGAAAACCATCAACTCCTACTTTGCATCGTCTCAGGTTTCCAACATCCTCAGTTTCGAGGATAGAGAAGTGTCATCATCTCATTAGGGTTCCGAATGGATGCTATGAAACTGAAGCACTGTGTTTTGCTCAACGTCCTAGCCATCTGTTACAAGAGGTCATCACGGTCCCATCCTTTTCGGTGATATTCTCACTAACCATTACCTCCTTCGTACGAGTATTCTTAATAAACATAAATAATTGCCGTGTATTACCTAATGGTTATGCCTTCTCTATCTCTTTAGCTTTCACCTCCTACCATGTGGTTATTGTGAATACTCACAGTCAGTTGACTCCAGCTGATTTTGCTCTTCGTAGTGGTCGGAGGCAGCTGGACTGAGTTTTCTCGCACCAGTCAGTTCAACTGAGATTGCAGAAATCTACCCCTGTCTCTACAGCAGACTTAATATCACTCCAGGCTTCCTTGGGAAGAGAATTGCTACCATGTTCATGTAGGTGCCTCACCATGTTCCTAAATTTACTTGACTTTCTCATCTTCCAGTTGATCAGGAAGCGGCTTCACTACCTGCTGTTTCCGGCGACGAGTAAGGTGCAAAACTCACGTGCCTATACTATCGTGTGATTGGAGTTGAAGCAGGTACCACGGAAAGAGCGGCCATCCTTGAATGATGTTCATCAATAATGGCTTAAAGCAGTCTGATATATGTGTGTCCGTTGTTTGTTTGATATTGGTGGATTTGAAGTGAGTCAGTGTCTGTGCTCATGTTTGAAGTTAGTGCCAGTCAAAAACTTGTGATTATCAGAACAAAATTACAGGAGATTGCCACCGTAATGTTAAATTTAGGAAATTTTAATTATCTTGTGAATTCTTTGGGTAGATTATCGGTCACATAGACAGAATATAGGTTTGTGTTTATGTTATCACTTGGAAGCAAATATGTCAGTCATGTGTAGAGCTTCTCTAACCATTTTAGCACCTGTGTCGAACTGAAGTCATCAGAAATAGAGTATTCATTAGAAAACCAAAGTTACTGTTATTTTCTCTGTTCACTTGTACCGGTAATTTAGGCAGTTCACCTCAATCAAACATGTAAGGTGCTACCATCCGTTATACTATTTTCTGTCTGACTGTTGATCATAGCTCTTCGTTAGCACTGTTCGAAATGGTAATCAACTCTTGCAAAACTCCATTGAAGAAAATATCTTGAAAGGTATATTAATGAAATCTTAAACTTGATTGCAATGGGTTCTCTGAGCTAAATGGTTTAATCATGGGTACGCAGCAATACCAAGATCATTCACCTAAGAAACATATTCTCCATCGTTTTAAAACTTAAACTTGGAGATCAGTATAGCAGCTTTTGTAAATGAGCCCTTTCATCACTTTTTCTTACTGAAGCAAATGTTTTTCACGCTGGGTATAATTATATTGAATAAAGATTTTTTGATATAATATTGTGAAATTAGCAATGCCACCTGAAGTTTTCAAGGTTGGAGGTAGGAAATTGTTGATTAGATTGACAAAGGCACTGCATAGTCTATGAGAATCAGAGGTAGTGCCGTCAGACTTGTGTACTTCACTAGCCATCGTAGTCTATAAGGAGAGAGAGGAGTCCTCTCGTGACAACTATGAGGGAATTAGTTTGGATAATATTGTGTCCAAAACCTTAGGGTCGATAATTATCCGATACCTGACTGGAGCTCGAGAACAACAATCTTAAAATCCGGGTAAGTTTCAGACCTGCACGAGGGTGCATCGATCATATTTTCACCCTACAACAGGTTATGGAACATAAGTATACCTGCCGGTCGCTAAGATTTCTATATTTCTTGACTTGAAGAAGGCACTTGACTCTGTCAACCTCGAGGTGTTGTGGTCGTATCTGACTGTGAAAAGGAGTACCCAGCAAGTCTAAAATGCCTATCAAAGCCCTCTACTCGAATTCATGCAGCCATGTTAAGGTCTATAGAGAGTTGTCATCAGAATAAGTGACAACTAATACTGTCCGCCAGGGATGTCCACTGTCACCGTTCCCATCTAGCTCCAATGTACACGCACTAATGAACATATCCTTACGAAAGTTTGAATTCACAGGGATTGTCCTACTCCCTGGATGTCATCTTTTGACTTGGACAATGCAGACGATATTGTCCTACTGGATAATGATGCTAATAAAATATAGGGTCTTGTGAACACTTTGAGCAGAAATCTGAGTATGTTTAGCATGCATTTCGCCCTCGTCATATGTAAGATGATGCACCAGGATTGGTCTGCAACCAAGTCCAGTTTAATGATAGGGAGTGAAGTGATGGAATATGTCGACCACTCCACATATACTTGGAGAGATGCATCAACCCGAACGGTCTGGTTGCTGACGAAATCTTACCTCAGATACAGAAGGCCCATTTGGCACTCGTCAACTTGCATCTGCATCTGCGAGGCTGACTAGTGAGATACCTGACTATCTATCAAAAGACGGGTATACTGTGCTGCAGTTCGTTCTGTCCTGCTTACACGGCTGTGAGACATGGCCGTAAAAAGTGAACGAGATGAAGCGGTTGGACAGTATCGATCCCAGATGTCTTCTTAGTATTGCTCGCGTTCGGAGGAATCACCATGTGAGCAGCATTGAGGTCAGGCGAAGGGTACTAGGCAAGATAGGTAAGTCGACTGACAACGTTGTGAACTTTATTCGACTTAGATAACTTCCATATGCACTGCATATGCCGAACCATCGCCTACCTGGATATGCCGTGTTAGGGGAAGTTGGATTAGGTTAGAAGAGGGTTCAGGGTGACTTTGACCACCATCCAAATGCAAATTGTTGCTCCAATAATGTTCTTCACTGGTGCCCTATCTAACACGGGTTTGAACCCTTATTCCACCTAGCGAGGTTTGGGCAGCTAAGCAGTATCACTAGCCCTAAAACAATAGGTGTGGCTCATTGTCTGGTTCAGGAATTTGCATAAGGATTCTGAGTTCACTTCTTTTAGTCTAATAAAAGGGAATAAAGTGGTTGAGTGCGTTTAACCACTTCCCTTACCTGCGAAGTCGGATCATTCATCAGCAGATCCAAGGCATATTTCGATGTGTATTACTGATTTCTATCTGCTTTTTCAGTAACCAGCTTGAAAGCATTCATTCTAAAAGAGAGACTTAATTTGCTTGTCGAAAAAGCACTCAAACAGTGTATTCAAGAGATTCCGTTCAATAGTTGCCATGGCAAGTCTTTGGGATGTGATTTGGGTCATATTGAAGGGGCTGGATGAGGAGTTCGATCGACGAAATAGTATATTATGCCAAAT